AATGCTTTGTTTTCTGCAGTTAGAGACGACTGCACTCTGTGATCCAGCTGGCTTCTTTCAGTCCTACACTTCTATGAGTGAAATCTTGATAAAATGAAGAGATTTAGCCAATCACCTTTTACTTACGCCAAGGTGATATAGGTAGGTCTGTCAAAAATAACAGCCCACGAGCCAGTGCACATAATTCTGAATGCAGCTGGTTTTTGGAGTTCAACACCAAAGCGGCTACGAGGGTTAGCGCATCAATGAAGCACAATAATTGTTTCACTGTGCTTATTATCTAGCTCTTAAAGAAAGCAAGAACACTCAGCTGGTAAACAAGTAGTGATAAGCTGTCAGAGCAATTTTGTGCATTAAAGGAAATATAACTCTTCTCTACAATACCGACCCTGGAAGAAAGCGAAATTTCAGTCAGCTAGAGACCTAGTGCATAATGGTCCAAGAGCAGAGGGGAGATGCCTTAGGGTATAAGGTCAGAAAAAATGACAGAGGTTCCCACCCAAACTCTTCACAATGACATACCACAGCTGCCTGTCTGTCTACGGTCTGCAAAGGTAGAAGATAGTCTCTACCTGCTGTTTAGCTCAGGATACAATTACTTGTGTTTTGATTTCTTGAAGTCAATGTCAGCTCATCACCTGCTGCCCATGGGGGCATTCCTCAGGTCAGGCTACAAGTGGCTGTGACCACTATTGCAAGTTGATGCTCCCCCACAACTAAGATTCATTCTCAATCTGTATGCACAGAAACGCCTTTAGAACGTGCAACCACCCAGCTCCCTGCCTCGATTCACAGCCCCATCCCTCGCAGCTCCAGCCCTGACACACACCCTCTACGCACCTTGCTCACCTCCTTTCCCCTTCCAACCACTCCTGTTCCCTGGTCTGCCTGACCGAGCAAACTGCCACTTGCCATGCTGACACCATCCTTCCCTTTGCTGTAGATGGGCACCTCCTCAGCTCTCTTTGCTTCAGGGTTTCATGTCAGCCTCAGCTGTGGCAGATGATAGCCACCTTCACCACAAGTTCAGTCCAAGCTTCATTGCTAGGCTTGACTGCTCACATCCTGGTTATAACAATCCCAAACAGGCATTTACCAGCTGAGGATCGAAGAGGTGCTCCACCAGCTTCACCCATGCTTCACCAGCACTGACCAGTACCATGTGCTCCCACACAACACGATGCAGTCACACAGCAGCATCCAGCACTCCCCTCTCTGCTGTGGGCATCTTCTTTGTACATGGCCCAGGAAGCAGCTCTGCTAGCAGGCTAGCATGGCACTGTTTCAAGATACTTGAAAAGGAACACCAATAAATTAAAAGTGAAGAAAATCAGAAGTACATCTATAGCTGAAATCCTTGTCCCACACCAGGAAAGCCAATACAAGTGACCATTCTGGCTCCAGAATCCAAATATTGTCATGTTGAGTAAGCAAATTTGTTTCAGAAAAGGCCCAGTGTCTGAAACCCTTACTGACTTCACTGATTTCTCCAGGAAAAATGCAAAAATAATTACTAGTAACAGTGACACTCTAAGTAGAGATTGTTAACACTAACACAACAGCTATGTAGAATATGAAAAAAATAGGAATCTTTATGAGGTATGAATGCTGCCTGTCTTCCAGCTGATGAAAAGACCAATACACATGTGGTTTTCATGCCTGCATCATTTTTTAAGAACCAAAAGAAACTAAGCGTCTGCAGGTGTAGCCCTCAGCCTTGCAGCTGTGCAACACAGGGAATTTCTTACGGATCTCATATGAAAAAAGGCAATTTAAGGTGCTAGAACAGACCAGAAATGAACACCCTGTGGCAGCCCTTTTTGAAACCTTTGCCATTTGTAGCAGCAAGGGCCAGGAATCTTTTATTCTTATAGAGAAGCAGAGCAATGTCTTTGGAAGGCTTTTTTTCTCCTTAAGATGCAGACCTTTCTCAGTTTATTTTTTTTTTTTGGGGGGGGGTGGTGGTGTGGTGCAGGGCAGACCTGGCTGAAGCTGTACACCTCAAATCTTAAGCAACCAGGACATTTCTGCCTGCAAGGACTGTCCTTCCCTCATACAGTCTTCTGCAAGAATTATGTTGGTGCAGTAAGTGCTGTAAAAAAAGTTTTGGCTTTAGAGAACTGAAATGGGAAACATGACTTTGTGTTGACTTGACTGTACTAAACTTTCCTACTTTCAAACCCATTTTGCCCTACTTTCATGTCTGCAAACAAAGAAGATAGTCTGTAAACATCTTTTTCATCATCTCGATCATAAGGGTTGTAAAATTGAGTCTGAAGACCACTTACATCTGATGGTTCTGCTCTCTTAGGAACATAGCTTCCTCTGGTTAACTGCATATTTTCCTGAACTTAGAGGTAAGATTAAAAATAATCACCACTGTTAATTATATACGAGGTCCTGGAAAGAGCAGCAGAAGTTAAATGCCAAAACAAAAAACAAAGAAAAAAGAAGATTCACTAATTTGACACCTTACAAGAGTTTGGATTCAATAGAAGTTTATACTTTTGTTTTCTTCCCCTAGAATCAAAAAAAGAAATTAACATTTTTTAAGTATACAATTAAAAAAATCGTGTTTTATGATTGACATGTTTTCAGTCAATTTCCTAAATGGCTTTAACAAAATCAAATACAATTTCTATAGTTACAACAGGTCAACATGTACATGAAGATACTTATATTGTAATGTTCACAAGTTACGCTCTCCAGTTCCTGGAATTACTCTCTTTCATCACATAACTGATTTAAGTGTCATTTGTGAAGTGTGTTGTACTCAGATGCATACCTGTTTTAGGATCCTAGCCAAATTCTTCTAAGGGGCTTCTACATGAATAAAACAGGGTTTTTAGAACTATGGCATGCTCTTAACAGGAATGCAGATGCAGTTTCTCATTGGAAAGACAACCCCATTTCCAAATTAGCCCAATTGATGATAGCCTAACGAGAGGCAACATGATCTATACCACATAATGTGTTACATAAATCCTAATGCGGTGCTAAATCAACAGTGAAAAAATATGTTTGACTAGAGGCAAAAATTCAGCTCTCTTTCCTTCTGCTTCTTTGAACTAATGAAGAGACACACACTTAACTAATTGCTTTGGCAGGCCAGCAGACTGTCTTCACTTGATAATAACATCAGGAATTCCATCACGTTTCAGCTTCTAATACTAAGGATCTTCAACACATACTTTTTAACAGTGAACCTCAGGATTATCTTCCTTTTCAAAAGGTTCTTCTTCTCTCACTTCTTCCCACTGGCTGCTGCATCAGGCATAACAGTACACAAATACACAACACGCAGTCCGAACTTGGCACTTGTCTGTCACAGGAAAACTTAATACTTACAGAGCACTCTGCTAACGAAAGGATGTTCAGAGCAACTTTAAGTTCACAAGTAATAGAAAACTACCTTCCCCATACACCTGCTTCAGGCTTGCCATGTACATGTGTCTGAATTTGCTGAAAGGCACAACAGCTCTTCATTTTACAGGTCTGAGTTGTGAACAGGCAGCAAAATTCCAGTTGCATATTCACAAGAGAAAACAAAGAATGCGAACACCAAACTGGATCCTATTTGTTTTTCTTCACACTTAATTAGATTCCTCTTTTTGGCTAGTTTAACACTCTT